CTTATACAAGTTTGCAAACTCTAAGACTCTCCCTGTGTCCATCATATTGGCATGGTCGGAGAGCCCCAAGCTCAGTTGGGGTTGGGTTTTTGTAGTAGCAAAGGTGGGGGTGAGGGATTTCTAAGGTTCAGGACCCCTGATTGGCTGACATTTGTCTAAGGGTGTCCTTTGGAAAGTGATGAGTATGTGCTGGCAGGTGATCCTATCTACAATGGTTTGGAATGTTAGACATTTCCTTTGGATGGTCTGTTCCTTGGTGGTGCCTGGGTGGTCTCAGCTTGTGGTCTTTCTTGGAACCAGAGTAACTACTGAGACTCGGGCCTCTATTGAGTTTGTTATGGCTGTGTCCTACAAATAAATCCAGGTTGACTCTCAGGAAAGTGGGAGGGAAATCACATGGCAAATATGGCTACCAGGTCTTAAGTAGCCTATAGGCATGGTCTTGAGCAGCCCCCAGAGAAGGAGCTGTTCCTTGGCGGGCTTTCTGAGGGGAGGGGTTGCTGCTTGATGGGCTTGTTGAGGGAATGGGAGGAGTGAGACCTAAGCATGGAGATCCCCAATATCCTAATCTTTTTGAGTATGTATGGATGCTAGTAGGACTTCCACCTAAACATCGCAAGTCTTGCTACTTCCTGCAGGCATTCAATTGGTAGTTCACATTCTGTGGACAGTGTGAGCTAAGAAACATTCAGTTAGCTGCCATCCTGGAGACCTCAGGAACCTTGTTTCTTGAGGAGGTGGAAAAGGCAGCATGCTTGGAGAAAAAGTAGGTTGTTATCATCGGCCCCATGAACAGGTCTAAGAATAACTGCCAGGAAGAATAAAATGGAGAAGTACCGTGGATGTACAGAAGAGGCAAAGGTGAATAAGCGAAACATGAGGGCACATCGGCTGTTCATTGGGACATCTCGGAAAACCAGTTTCCAATTGCTGGGTAGGTGTCCACTTGAGCCTGGAGAGGTGGTACCATTGGTGAAGTCCTAGGAGTTGGTACAGGTCCTGGCATATTTGGAGAGTCCTCTGTGGTTTGGCCTTGGCCCAGGCTAGAGAAGTGAACCTGCAAAATATGCTCAAAAAGAGGTGGGATCAAATGGGCACCGGAGACTTAGTTTTCATCAGTCCAGATTTCTTAACACAGTAGCAAAACTTCTCCCAGGAACCTGCAGGTGTCTGTAAACAACTGAACCCATTTACATATTGGTGTCATAGTGAAAAGGCCATGGCTTTGCTTTGAAAGGCATGAACAATTTAGAAGACTACCAGAGGAAATTTAAGACTCTGAACCTCCAAAGTTACATCTGAAACCTATTAATTTTGGACTATGAAGTGGGCACACCTGTCTGTACTTTAACAGGAAACTTAATGAGTTACCAGGGTACTTGTAGCCTCGGAGGTCAGAGGAGAACTGTTAAACTGGTACCCTTTTTAGAAAAGGCCACCAAATCTGAGAGGAATGAATTTGAGCAGAAGTCAGACAGCCTTCTAGCTTCCTAGGCTGCAGGCTCAGGTCTTTGGTGAATACAAGTCTCAGAAGCAGTACTTACTTGCCTTTAGCTGCTAAGCCCAGGAGGCCTGACAGACTTTTTCTGTGGAACAGGGATTTGGAGATTGGCCTGCCTAACTTGTTAGGGTGGAACATTCGATCCCCTGTTGCTCTGCTTGTTCACAGTGTGGACAGGGTCTTGGCAGTAGAGGTGAAAGGCAGTTTTTTGCCCCGTAGCTGGCATTGCCACATTTGAAGCAAGCCTCCAGGTGGAAGTTCTGCAGCCATCCGTCTTTTTGGAGGAGATACAGGATGCTGCCAGGAGCTGGCATGTCTATCATAAAAAGCGTTTTTGTTTTATGCCATACTCTCAAATCTGTAAAGGTGCTTAAGGATCAGGGTATGATTACCTGTCAGGTATATATAAATTAGACAAATATTGTTTAGGCTTAACTTTGAGAGCATATAAATTAAATCTGGACATACAGTTTACCCAATTAATCATAGCCTACTACAGTTAATAAAGGCACAAGATTAGAAGGAATATTTTCAGTTGTGTTCTTGAGACCTAGGGCATAATCATAATCTATGTAAGGCAAAACCAAGTTTTAACATTGTAAACAGTTTAGTGTTTTAAATCAATAACATCAAGGGGTTTACTCTTAGGTTACAAAATCTGGCTCATTCATTCCTGTACATGAATATAGAGGTGCAGCTTTAATATCTCAGTAAGACAGCATTGTTTTAAATCCTATCTTCTATAAACTTTATTTTTAGGACAAGACAGGAATTATCATACAGAAACATATCCTAACCCAAAGTATATTGGAGGTCTAATGTCTCCTTGGTGGGGCCATTCCATGTGGTCACCCTTACTAAATATGGCAGTAAACTCAGAAGACCTCTGTCTCTGACCTTAGTCAAAATGGCACTTGTCCAAATGGTAAGGTATTGGCAGATCACGTGATGTTTTCCAGAGCAGTTTCAATCTGGAGTCACAAGCACACATACACATACAAAGACAAAGCAGGCATGCTGTGACCATGTTACTCAAACATACACACAGAATAACAGGGACTTCCCAACAGAAAGGCAAACAAAACCCTAAAATAAGAGTTTACAATATAAAACAGCATAGGAAAGCATAGGAAAGACAGATTCTGGCTATGGCAGTGGCCCGGGTGGTGGCCGCCTCCGAGTGGCAGAGCTATGGAGGGAACTGAGAAGGCAGGGACAAACAAGGAAGATAGAGTTGATGTAGGTAGATAGGCAGTTGATATAGGTAGATAGGCAGGAACAAACAAGGAAGATGGAGTTGATGTAGGTAGATCGGGCTGGTAGAATTACAACATGGTACTATAGGACAGAAGGCAGACAGGCAGAAGGTATGGACCTGCTGTGGGAAGAATCCCTGCATGGCCAGACCAACCGCTAGGGAAGCCTGTTGGACAAAGTCAAAATGAGCAAGCAGACCCTGCCAAAGGTATGCCAATAAGAGAATACAGGAGGAACAAGAGGTTCATTCCGGATCGGGGGAAAGGAGTAAAAGGGCATCCTGGAGGTAAGACATGAGAAGCAGATGAGCAGGGAGCAAGGGGTTTGAGGGAAGAGCATGGGAATGAAGCAATGGGACCTGGGAAAGAGCCTGGGAACTGGGAACCTACAGGGCCACTTGGCAGAGAGGACACAGCTGACTGTTGGGGCAGAGGGAGCAAACAGCCATGGCTGGACCAAACATCAGGGAAGCAAAAGCAAAGTTAGAGTAAGCATCCACGAAAGCAACAAGTCGGGGAAACTGGGAGGACAAGTGGACAGAAGCATGAAATTACAGGCAGGCAGAGAAGCAAGATTGCCTGCAGACAGTAGGAAGGTAGCGGGCAGGAACCTGGCTAGGGTAGCTCAAACCAACATAAGGTGAGACAGCCCCAGTCTGTCAATGTCATAGGGTGTCTGGGGAGCGAACTTGGACCTGGAAGTATCCATTCTCAGATCATTAACTGCCAGAGACTATGGCAGGGTGGTCCCTGAGACAGCCTGAGACCAGAAAACGGAAAGATAAAAGTATGCCTATGTGGGACTTGTCCCAGAGGCAGGAACTGTCCCTGCCCTATGAAGGGCCAGCACTACAGTGACTTGTCCTAAGAGGCAGGAACTGTCCCTACCCTGTGAAGGGCCAGCACTACAGTGACTTGTCCTAAGAGGCAGGAACTGTCCCTACCCTGTGAAGGGCCAGCACTGCAGTGGACTTGTCCTAAGAGGCAGGAGCTGTCCCTACCCTGTAAAGGGCCAGCCACTACAGTGGCTTGGCAAGCAGGAAGGGATCCTAGATCCATTCGAGGCTGTTAGCTGGAAGTGGGTAAGTCACCAAGCAAGTCTGTCAGATGGCAGGGAAAAAAAGAATAGTTTTCCACAGCCACATGGTCACCAGAAAACTCAACTTGATTCAAGTTTTTAATCCCCAGTTATTGGCTATCTGCTGCCACTATTGTAATGTGCCAATCAAACTGTATTAATAAGTCCAAGTTTAATGAACAGAGCACTCTTGGGTGACCCTCAGGAAGGCAGGAAATGAATCACAAGGTAAATATGGCTACCAGGTCTTAAGTAGCCTCTGGGAGTGGTCTTTAGCAGCACCCAGGGAGAGGAGCTGACCCTTGGCAGGCTTTCCGAGGGGAGGGGCAGCTGTTTGGTGTGCTTTTTGAGGGGGCAGGTATTGGAATGGGAAGATTGAGACCTGAGCATGTAATGGGGCCCCAAGCTGGAGATCCCAGCAGTATGGATTTACTTTATATCCAGATTAGTTCTGATGAGTAGGGTTTCTTTCCAGCATTGTCTTAAGAAGCAGAATAACCCTGAGTCTTCACAGGAGAAGGAGATTAGCATAAAACCAGCATCCTGCCTTTAACCAATGGCCAGCTTTATGACTTTATGACTTTGTGTGTCTCAGTTCACTGAATTCTAAATTTGCCCCAATAATAGAATCTCCCTCATCCTGTTACTGTGGCATTAAAGAGAAATTCTATAAAGTTGCATTGGAAATTCTCTGTGCATTTTATTTGAGAGGTACTATGACAAAATCAGAAAATTCTAAGTCATAAATGAGAACATTGTTTAACATTTATTTACTCATTTAGAAAGCCTTATTCCATCAAGGTTGGCCTCAAACCCTCAATCCTTCTGCCCCTATTTCCTGAATGCTAAGAATTAAAGACTTTTCCACACCCAGCACCATTCATTGTTTAGGTGGGAGGGTAGTGCTCAGGGAAGAGTGTAGCCAGAGACTTTTTTGCATCCCACAGCTGCTTATAAAATCACTCCCAGGGTTAATATTAATTACAATTGTTTGACAGATAGCTCAGACTTATTACTAGCTAGCTCTTACATATAAATTAACTCAATTCTATTCTCATGGCATCTAATTCCTTTGATGGCTGCTGACATCCTTCTAGATCCCACCTTCTTTTTTCCCTGTATTCAGTTTGGCTTTTCCACCTTCCTATATTGTGCCCTGCCATAGGCCAAAGCAGCTTTATTCATCAACCAATGGAAGCAACACATATTCACAGTGTACAGAAGAACTTCCACATCAGAAGAGCACTTCAGAAGTCAAGTAAGTTCACAAGCATTACTGCATGTCCTGGGAGTAAGGGAATAGTTCAAAGTGTGTCTACAGTAATTCTTGAGAGATGATGACTCAGTGCTTAAGAGCACTGTCTGCACTTCCAGAGAACCTGGATTCAATTCCTAGTATTTACAACCATCTCCAACTCCAGTCCAGGGGATCCAGCACCCTCTTCTGGCCTTTCAGCCACTTATGCACATGGTGCACAGACAGTGCAAGCAAAATACAAAATACCATATTCATAAAATAAAGATAAATCTTTTACAAGTACCTAGTGCAAGAGGCAATAAATAATTTATATTTAATTAATAACTAGAAACTAATTATCTAATGTTTATAGTACAAACTTGTAAGTTTCTTTCACTAATGTTCTGGTTTATTAGTCTTGGGTTAGTAGACATAACTCTCTGGATACTGCATTTTTCTTGGGTTTCTTGTTACCTTGATTTTAAGTACTGTGACCTGGTAGACTAGGGAAGGTAAATCTTTTATTGTTTTGTTTATTTAAAGACTGCATGGGTTTGTGGAAATATTACTTTTTTGGTTAAGTATAGAGCATTTCTTCATGAAATATTATTTTAATTCCTCGAAGAGATGAAAATATATACCCTAAGGTATTCTCGTACTTTTAGCTTAACTTTTAAAGTTAGGCTATAAAAGTGTAGTGAGTCTTTCTCTGTCCCGCCACCCACCTCCCAAATAACTACACGGAAACTTACTATTCATTATGAAAACCCAGCTGATAGCTTAGGCTTGTTTCTAACTAGCTCTCATAACTTAAACTAATCCATTTTTACTCACCTGGGCACTACCACATGGCTCAGGACTTGTTGCCTCATCTCTCCACGTCATGCCTCCACTATGTCTCCTCATGACTCCACCATCTTCTTCACAGCATTCTCTCTGCCCCGAAAATCCTGCCTAGCTGCTAGTTGTTTATCTCATTATTAAACCAGTCACAGTGGCATATCTTCACACAATGTGAAGGAATATTCCACAGCAGTAAAGTATGAAGTACTTAAACAACTTTTCAGTTTTTAGACACTCACAAGTAGTCTTAATCACACTCCTTGTAATCTAGTAGCCTGCCTACCTCCATCACTTTACTGGCCATTGCTGTCTGTCCTGTGCCACTGTCACAGCAATTCAGTGAGCATATGTACTATTCTCATGGATGAGTTATCTAGAGATAGACATTTTTACAGATGGTTGTAAGCATAATACTTACTCAGCTTTCTGAGTGTCAGCAGGATTCCTCCACTGAGACAGGCTAGTTTTGTCTTTCTACTAAAACAATTTTTTTAGGATTTGCTTAAATTAAATAGTAATTAAAATTTGTAGCCCTTTTGATTTCTGAGCAGACAGAAAAGAAAATAGGGCTACCAAGCAGCTTTTTAAAATACACAATGTATAGTCTTTCATGGTATTGTTGGTTTTTAACTTTTTGTGCTTTTTTTTCCACCATAAATATGAGGAAATGTTATTGTTGTTGTGTGTGTGTGTTGTATATTTCTTTTACTTAAATTATCTTTTGACTCAGTAACTCCTTTTTAAGTTGGAATCCTTCCCTTCTGTATGTTTTATTAAGATGGAATCATATTAGAAAAGAAACTTAAATTAGTAGGGAAAGAAAGACTGCATTCCTTAAGCTAAATGTTCAGATAACATTTACTAAAAAGGATCTAGATTCTAAATAGTGCATAAGGTAAGTGCAAACCAACAAGATATTCTTGGCAATATAAAACTGTGGGCGAAATCCTGCTAATTGTCCTCTCGACTCCATACAAGGGCACATCACACATTCCCATAATAAATGAATAAATGTAGTTTTTTAAAAAGACAGAGAAAGCAGCTGAAGAGATGGGTCAGGAGTTAAGAGCACTGACTACTCTTAAAGAATGTGCTGGGGCTGGGTTCCCAGCCTTCATACCATTTGTAGCTTCTGGCTTTGCAGGTACAGGACACACACATGCAAGAGTCAAGTGTACATAAGTTAAAAAAAAATTTAAAGACTGAAAAAAATATATATATCAAATTATAGAATTTGGGAGCTGGCCAGATAACTCATATTTGATTATTGAATGCCATGTAAAAAAGTCAAATGTGGTCATGTATATCTGTAATCCCAGAACTCCCACAGCCAGCAGGGAGACAGAGATAGGCGAATAGTCCAGAAACCGCAAGGTCAGCTAGCAGTGTGGCGGAAAAAAGTAGATACTAGAAGGAAACTAACTTGTTAGAGCTGTCCTCTGACTTCCACATTCATGCCATGGTCCATGCATGTCTGTAATAAATTACAAACTTCTTACTGCCAATAAACTATAGGGCATTCAATTTTGTATGCAGTTGTTATTTTACAAATAAAGTTAATATCAGCTGATAAACTTAAGTGATGTTACCAGAATCATAGAGAAAAGTAATTAATATAACCATAACTGATAACCTGGGCCTCTTGTTCTCATTTGCTCTGTGTGTGTGTACACAGCATATGAAGTAAACTAGTATACCTCTGCCAAATTTAGGGACTGGGGAGGTGGCTTCTTGGCTAAAAGTGCCTACTGAACAAGCATGGGCACCTCAGTTTGAATTCCTTTCACCCACATAAATGTGTGATCATGACCCCATATCCCTTGAACCCCATTGTTGAAGGACCAAAGCAAGCCTGGCTGAGATGGTGTTTCAGATTCAGTGAGCGATCCTGTTTCTAGGAAATAAGGTGGAGAGTGATAGAGCAGGACACCTGTAAATTCCTCTTGATCTCTGCACATGTTTACTCTCTCTCTCCCTCTCCCTCCCTCTCTCTCTGTCTCTCTCTCTCTCTCTCTGTCTCTCTCTCTCTCTCTCTCTCTCTCTCTCTCTCTCACACACACACACACACACACACACACACACACACACACACACAAATGTACCACAGACATACTGCACAGTCACACACAGCACAGAATACGACACACACACCAAAGACAAACATACTCCACAGACATACCACACAGACACACATACCACAGATGTGATATGTGCATATACCACACACACATACACCAGAGACATACTATATACACAGAATTAAAAAATATTATCGCAACATTTTAAAAACTGTTAACTTTATGTATCAGCGTTTGCCCTCATAGATGTATTTCAATGGGTGACTGGTGTTCAAAGAGGCCAGAAGAGGATGTCTGATCTCCTAGAATTGAAATGACAGATAGTTATGATCCACCATGTGGGTGCTAGGAAACAAAGTCATGTCCTTGGGAAGAGCAGCCAGGGCTCATCATTGCTGACCTATATTTGCAGCCCCTGTGTTTCAGCATGTTTTAGTATACTGGAGAATTCTTTCACTGCTAATTTAGGAAATGCATGTTTTTACACAGTTCTCAGTGAGTTTCTGATCAGTTAAGGTGGGTTCTCTGGTTCTTCTCTTTGTAAAAGTGAGTTTTTCCCCCTTTGTATTTAGCTAGTAGCTCTTGGTGGAATACATTTTGTAGATTATAAATACAGTGGGGTTTTTTTCTTTTATTTTCTTCTTTTCCCTCTCCCATTTCTTTCATGTGTATAGGTGTTTGGCCTGCAACTGTGTACCACCGTGTGTTTCCCTTGTATCTGCAGAGGTCAGAAAGGCCATCAGAGCCTCTGTGAATCTGCTGGCAGGCAGTTGTGAGTCCTCATGTGGGTGCTGGGAACCAAAGCTGAGTCCTCTGGAAGAGCAGCCAAGGCTCTTCACCACTGAGCCAGCTTTCACATGCATGGAGATGTATTTCAAGATCACTAGTGGGTACCTGGAACACTGGCTACTATTGATGCCTATGTATGCGCTGTTTTTATCCTATATGCACACAAATTTAATACCTTTTATGTCTTAATTAAGCAATTTTTCTGTGCTGTGAACATAATTTTTATAGTTTAAGTCCAACAAAATTAGCAAAAATTTGTTGTTTTAGACTATTTTGACCATATATCATAAAAACTTTAGCACATGATTTACTGTCGTTCCCCTCCCCCCCTCCGGACAGGCTTTCTTTGGTAGGCTCAGCTGTCCTAGCTTTGTAGAGCAGGCTGGCTTCAAACTCACAGAGATCCACCTACCTCTGTGTCCAGAGTGCTATGATTAAAGGCGTGTGCCACCACTGCTCCACTGATTTACTTTCTTTTGGTTCCTGTCCTGGAACTAGCTCTTGTAGACCAGGCTGGCCTCGAACTCACAGAGATCCGCCTGCCTCTGCCTCCCGAGTGCTGGGATTAAAGGCGTGCGCCACCACTGCCCAGCCTGATTTACTTTCTTAATCAACTAAATAAAGAGCTTCCATTGTTTTACTTAAAGAAAAAGTATAACCAGAAACTGCTCATTTGTTTCCTGACTGCTCAGACCCAAATAATCACATACAACTATATTAATTACAACACTGTATGGCTTAAGCATATTCCTAGCTAGCCTCTTACATCTTAAATTAACCGATTTTTATTAATCTGTGTTTTCACCACGAGATTGTGGCTTCTGGGGTCATCCTTCTGCAGCTACATGGCGTCTCCCTGATTCCACCTTCTTTCTCCCTGAATTCAATTTAGTTTTTCCTTTCTTGCTGTGTTCTGCCCTGCTATAGGCCAAAGTTGCTTCTTTATTAACCAGTGGTAATAAAACATACAGCATACAGAGGAGAATCTTACATCAAAGAAACATTTCCTGGTGTATCTAAAGTATGTCCAGATTTATAACTTCAGTGCTGTGCTTTCAAGCTATTTATTAACTGAAACCCAGGTTACTTTAACACAAACAGCACACTACAGAGACACTGGTCTCTTGACCAAAGGACGGGAACCTGTGTGTGATGGCAAAGGGAAGATTTGTGTCATAGGCAAAGTCGTGTACTACTCAGATCACCATACAATGTAATGCTTGCCAGTTGCTTCTGTGATTTTTCATTTACTATTTTTGCCTGTACTGGATGATCGGGAGCTGAAACTGGAAAGTAGAAACACAGATAAAAGGATCCAACTATGTCCTGTTCTGTATCAGCTTTTTCTTAGCATCCATTCGTTATGCTTGCCAGAATTCATTGAGTTTATTTAAACATTTACTATAGAAACTTAGCATTACAAAGTTTTCTCTTTTTTTATTATGAATATTGGTCTTAGTTACAAGACCAGTAGTATACCTAATTTTACTTGTCTTCAAGATTCAAAAAAAATTAGTTTTGCATTAATAAAATATTCAGTGAAATTTAAGATTTTTGTGGCACTTCTTTTTGGTCTTTAAGTATGTTTCAGTAACATAAAATTGATACTTGGAATAATTTTGGTTGTCGTAGTGATAGACTTGAACACAGAACCTTGAGCTACACAAATGCCCAAGAATGAATTATACTCCAGCTCAGAATAATTTTTTTCATTGTGGTCCTGTTATCATATGATGTATACTTAGGCTTATTTGTTTCGATTTATTTTCAGTTTGTGGGCTTAGGTTATTTGTGTTCTTCTCAATTTAATTTTTGAATATGTAAAATGTTTATATTGACTAACAAGAAGCAAAATTATATAAAACCTTTTATCAAAAGCAATGTCCCCTTTTTTGTCACCAAACCCCATTCCACAGGTAACACTTCCTGGTTTCTGCTTTTCTTCTTTCTTTCTTTTTTTTTTTTAAAGATAATAAATATTCTTGTGTGGATTTTATCATGTTTTAAAATATAAATTAGTATGTTGTGGATATTTTTCTGTAACCTGAGAATATTTTACATTCAACCTGTTTCCCTAAAAGCATTTTATGGATCTGGATGGTACAGTGTTTACTGTGGATAATTTTATCTTTTTTATGCATAATGGTAATTTTCCTTTTTTTCTATGTTTCCTGTTAACATCATTTAGTTTGTTTTTTCTTTTTGATTTGGTATGTGTGTGCACACATGCATGCATGTGTGTATGTGTTTAGATAGGGTCCCAACCCAGGGTAAGCTCTTAACTCCTCTGCCTCCTCTGTGCTGGGGATTATAGTTCTCTATGTATTTATTAGTTAAACCCTTGAGATATGTTTTCCCAGTTTTTCACTAATCTTTTCACTTTAATTTAGTGATTCTTCTTCAGTTTGTCACATCATTTCTCTGTATGTACTTGAATTTATCAAGTTTTCCTTTTAAAGCTTCTGAATTTGATTTCAGAAATGTAAAGCTAAAAATAATTTCCCCTTTTTCTATTATTTGCTATCATGTTGTTTTTAGATCTATGATTCATTAGTAGTTAATGTAGTGATCTGCTGTTCACTGAAATGAGGGTCTGCCTATATCTCCCAAGCATCATCCAGCTGTCCAGGTGAAATTCATTAGTTTTGTTCAGTGATTTGTGATGCTCTCTTTATCCAGTTTTCATGTATGTTTGGCCCTCTCTTCTGTGTGTGTGTGGGGGGGGGGGAGATTCTTCCTGGTCCTTTTGTAATGCATTGATGTCAAAGATTTTATGTCTTTGTATGTTATGGAGTCCGTTTCCTTCTGCAAATACTCCTGTGTATGGTCTTTCTTAGATACTCTTGTTCATTTTTTAGATAAACATTAGAATTCATTACTTTTGTTCTGGGAAAAAGTTACTTCTTTTAAGGAGATAACATCTTACCCAAGAACAAGGAATGTCTGAATTTATTCATGTCTATTCTTCTTTTGTCCTATCAAACTGATTTTCTTATAATTATGTGTATAATTTTGTTTGTTTATTTTGTTTTTTCGGGGAAAGGTTTATCTGTGTAGGTTTGGAACCTGTCCTGGAACTCACTCGGTAGACCAGGCTGGCCTTAAACTCACAGAGATCTGCCTGCATCTATAATTTATGTATAGTATGTATTGTATACTATATGTATATTGTAACTTATTTTATATATGTGAATGTATGATAACATAGTTTAGAAACTTACATGTTTAAATTAATTAGTATTTATAAAAACATGTCTTGTAACATGTAAATTTCAAAGCTTTTTACTATAGAAAATTCAGACAGAGGTTTTTAATATAGTATAATGAATCCCCCGTCCTTGAACAGTGAATATTTTCACATGTGACATTATTACCTTACCAGTTTGTCTCCATTCTCAATTCTGTGTAACTTCACAAGGCATATTTTTTCTAGGCCAATGACATTAGTAACCTTATTTTTGTAGTCTTGGAGAAAAATTTGTTTTAATATGTGTTGCTAGTATTTGAAGTATTTCAGATAGCAATTAAGTGACATTTCAAAGTGCAATAAAGGCCAGGCCCGTTGGTGCCTGTCTTTAACCCCAGCACTTTGACAACAGCAGCAAGTGGATGTCTGTTGGCTTTTTCACATTAGCCTGTTTGCATAGTGAGACAGTTTTGTTTTGGTTTTTAGAATAATTTAACAAAATTACATCAAAACAAAAGATTTAAATAATATTTTCCTGCCATGGAATTTAACTATTCAGGAATGAATATGTATAAAGGATTATAATATAGTTCACTAATGAATTATCCAGTAAGATGATGATAACTTATGCTAAGTATTTAAGATCTTGGGACTGTGCTGTTCTTTAAAAAAAAAAAAGTGCTAAAATAAGATTACTCAGTTTAGTACCCTATAGGTCACCTTTGGGTGTCTTTTCTATTTGATAGAAATCATTTCCATATGTCCTGGACACGGATCTGCTACTACTATGTCCCATCACAGAGCCAGAGTCCTTTATTAATAATGAGTAGCCAAATTTGGAACAAATATATATTCATCTAGAAAGCTAAGTAATCCTAGAGTCAGTTATTAACTAATCAAATAGCCTGCTGTTGTCTGGTTCCACACTGTTCCTGTTGGGGATGTTTTGTTGTGCTTGGCCTCTCCTGACAGAGAGGCTTATTGCAGCAGGGATGGCTGGCCTTCAGGCTAAGACTCCCAGATTAAATTGTGCTTCAGGACACGTTGCCTTACTCCCAAGATTGGGGTAATGTTTGCAATGAAAAGCCAAGTGGAGATTGGGGTGGTAAAGTGCACTCTGATGTTCCGGTACCCTGTGGAGGTCCATCACCATCGGTCTGCTGTGCTCCTTTCTGTGCTTACAACTTCCCTCTCCCCTGTGCTTCATGTCGCATGGTAACCTTCTTTTCCAGCTGGCATAATAAGTATGTTAAGGTGCTCAAAATATGCATTATACTGACAGAATTGTATATGTGTGTCTTATTTTTTTAATTAGGCCTGTGTAAATTGTTTATAGTGCTTGCCTAAAAGTAAAAACCAATGTATAGGTTGATTTCACTTGGCAAAATTGGTGGGATTTTTAACTGATGTCTTTTTGGCTGTTCATTGTCCTACCCATTGTCCTTTTCCCACCCTGAACTGTTGCTTTGGAGTTAAGAAAATCTCCTGTGTACGGCTTATGTTAAGCAAAAGAAGAAAAGGATTTTCTTAGTGCTAAATTTTTAGAATGTATGAATGGATTTCATATGTGATTTTAGGTAAGAAACCTGAAAAGGTACCTTAAATTTATTAGAAAGACACAAGACAGTTAGCTTTCACATTAACTAAATACTGGTGATTATTTTAATGGCATCTAAAACTATAAAACACTTAAAGTATTCAATTTTCTGAAGAGGTTTTGTTTATTTCTCTGCCTGAGGCAGGGTTTCTATGTAGCCCTGACTGGCTTTGAACTCACAGAGAGCCACTGGCTTGTGATTGCCACATGCTGGAATTAAAGGGTTTGTTTGTTTGTTTGTTTGTTTGTTTGGGGGGGCATTCTTTTAGTGGTGGTGGTAGTTTTTTGTTTGTTTTTTGTGGTTTTGGTTTTTTGGTTTTTTTGAGACAGGGTTTCTCTCTGTAGCTCTGGAACTTATTCTGTAAACCAGGCTGGTGTCAAACTCAGAGAGATCCACCTGCCTCTGCCTCCTAAGTGCTGGGAGAGGTTTAAATCTTAACATAAGCTTTTCGGCTTGACAAAGGTTACATATAGTATAGGATTCAAGAAACCACCATTTACTCTTATATCCAATATAAAATCAAAAGTGATTAAAATAGAATTTTACTACATAATCTGCTCTTTTGTTGTTATTGTTGTCAAGATAAAGCAAAAGGAGAGGAAGAATAATGCTGACACTTTATATGAAGTTGTGTGTTTGGAAAGTGAGTCAGAGAGAGAGAGGAGGAAAACTACAGCCAGTCCTTCAGCTCGCCTGCCACAGTCTGGATCTCAGAGCTCCATGATCCCCTCTCCTCCAGAAGATGATGAAGACGAAGGTAAATGTAGAGAGATTGTGTGGAGGGTGGAGGGCTATCCACACTGCTGCAACTCCATCTAAAGATGGGGCTGGTGATGGGCCATGGGATTGGAACTCATTCAGTGAGCACTTGTGAGATTTTCCCATAGACAAGCAACTTGGAAAGGCTGGAAAATAGTCAATGTTAGCCTTTCTCTGTCTCTCTCTCATGTTTGTTTTGTACTTGTGACACAGTGCACCTGTTCTTTCTTTTCACCCTGAGGTCACTAAGCATAGCAGCAGCACCTTTACCTAATGAGCCGTCTCCCAGACCACACTGGGCATTCTTTAAGGTACCTGTAATCCAATTGAGGAAAATGAGATTTTATGATCTGCTGGTCACTGTTTAATGGTAATACGCAGAAGTGGAGACCAGAGGAAGTCTCAGGCATAGGAAAAGAGAATATTTCACAATGGTTGTCTAGCTCATAGCAGTACAACGGCTTCATTTTTAATGAATGAAATGGATGACGATAGAAGGTCATTTGAGTTTGAATCTGAAGTTTACTCGAAATTCATAAAATTTTTCACTGGAGGATCTACTGGGACATCATCAGGGTGGTTTCTGAACTGGGATTGAAAGTACAAAAACTCAGTGGAGATGAATGGGCTTCTCTGAACATTTCTAGCTAAGAAATCACATTAACAAAAATACAGAGATGTAAGGAATCGGTATCTTCATTAAAAGATAAATACCCATGATCGCATGTGCATTTTCAGGGTTAGCGTAAGCAACAACTTTGTAAGTCCTCGTTGTTTTGTTTGTTTTTTTGGCATAGTTCCCTCTCACTTGTAATTAGTCACCTTATGTTCAGTTTCAGGACTATTAATGCCTGATGATTGAGTGATTATTGTATTGTAGCAGAGTGTTTTCTCAGTGATCCTCACAGTGAACCTAAAAGTAGGAATTATTATTGTCCTCGTTTTTCATCTTAAGTAAAATGAGAGAGAAGTAAATTGCCCCAGGCTACAGGGATAGAAAATGGCAGTTACAATGTCAATCAAACTCATGTACTTAAATCTAAAGTGAAGTCTTCTTTATCTTCTGCATTTAATTCTCATAAGTCATTGAAATGCAGAAAAGGCCCATGTGTTTTTTTGAGGTCAGGTGCAGGTTGGCATTCCCCTTTCAAACCAGTTCAGATTATGTTTTTCCTTCTTTTTTCTTTTTAGATTTATTTATTTATTTATTTATTTATTTATTTATTTATTTAATGTGTGTGGGTGTTTTGTCTTCATGTATGTCTGCACACTAGCAGAAGGCATCAGATTCAGTGGGACTACAAGTTATAGATAGTTCTAAGTTGCCATGTGAGTGCTGGGACTTGAACCCAGGATCTCTGCAGTAGTTGCTATTGCTCTTAACTGCTGAGCCATCTCTCCAACCCCTTCATTTTTTTTCACGGAAAACTTAAAATATTCCCACTGTTTGAGATTGTCGGCTATACGTCTAGTAGACTTAAAACTTGGAGCTTCTCTTTTAGGTCAGTATCAGCTACAATGAAGAATAGAAAACTGTCTCCATAAGTCTCCCAAAACTCAGTAGTAAAATCAAAGAACTCAAGTTTGAGAAAGGCTATCATGATAGGAGACATTCAATCTCCATTCAGTAGAGCTTGAGGAATATCATCTGGTTGCAAAGAGTTGCAAAGTTGACCCAGCTAAAAAACAGCACCCAACAGGGGGTGCTGTCATTGCGGGTGCGTTGAAGAAGACCACCAGCCTGGTGGGATTGGCAGTGTGTGACACCCCACATGAGAGGCTAACAATATTGTATACAAAGATTCTTGATATTTTGAAGCAGTTCCCTTAAACATGCAGCCTATAGAAAATACATAGAACAGATCACCAATGAGAAGCTGGATATGGTCAAGGCGGAACCAGATGTTAAAAAATTAGAAAACTTGCCTCAGGGTGGTGAAGTAGAAGAGCTGATTCTTCAGGCTGAAATGAACTAAGTTTGGCAAGGAAGATGTTGCAGTGGAATCCATGGGAGCCACTGGTGGAAGAGCCTCCTAGTAGTACTAATCTGTGGGAAAAAAATAAAATAAAAAGATTTTTAAATTTTTAGCAGATTCAGGAGATTTTACTCTTCGTTGATTTTAGTTCTTTGTTGTTGTTGTTTTCCGAGGTAGGGTTTCTCTGTATAGCACTGGTTGTCCTAGAACTCTGTAAACTGAGCTGGTCTTGAGCTCACAGAGATCTGCTTGCCTCTGCCTCTTAAGGGCTGGGATTAAAGGCCTGTTCCACAACCACTCTGCTAACTGATGGTTCTTAACTAGGAAGATAGAAGAACTAATGGCCCCTGATAGTCCATGGGGAAGGTAGTGGTGCTAGAACATGAGCTCTGCAGAGGAACAGTTTTCCATTGCTGTATTCCTTTAGTGTTTCCCACAATAGCCATGCATGAGCATTCAGAAAATATTGGTGGATTGAGTTAAGTCCCTAAAAGTCACTTCCCTAACAAGAAGCTAATGACAGGACGTCTGGAGTACAGAGATTGTGACCATGTCTTCTTCAGTCAGAATCTTTCTATTTTAGTGTTTCCACCAGGAACCGTGTTGTATTGTGATATTTACTCCCTGGGAAAAATGACTACTCTCCAGAGAGGTTTCTCACCCATAGGACATCTGACAAGAAATCGAGCACTTAACAAAACCACATTCTGAAACTTGAAATAACTTTACATTCCCTTTCTCTCCCTCTAGCCTGTTAACCTGAGACTCCAATGACAAATCCAAGCTATTAATCTTGAGATTTATTGGAAGGGTCCAGAGCAGTAGAAGAGGAGTGTGGAAAATAGGCCTTCCTACTGCTTTTGAAGGGCTTACTACACTACACAGATTTCATCGCATGATTGGATTTCAGCAACACCTAGCCCACAATAGTACTTTTTTTTGTTATCGTCACGGGTTGTATATGATGAATATGATGAATGGGAAATTGAGAAATTACAAAGTAGTGTTATTCTGGCATATTAACGAATTTAGAGAAATTGACCTTAGTGTCCTAAGCTTTTTCTGTTCGTTATTATTTATATACAGAAATATCTAATTTGCAGTCAGTCTGTCTTTTACTTGTCTCACAAGCAAAACTATAATAATATCCAAAATGTTACAATGTAGGAAGTTTAATAGGTGTCAGTTGGTGCTTTGTGGTGATGCTCTCTTGAGGGATGGTGCGTGCGTGGTGATTTTGGCTGGGTGAGGTTGTATGGAGACAAGCACTGTTGCACCTCCTTAGTGACAATGCACAGCATTAAAACTGTTGAAGAAGACAGTTTGTCAGGTGATTACTAAATCCTAACAAGTAATGGTATTTTAACTTAGGAAGTCCATTTCTTGGCAAATTCCCAGTAAAGCCACGAGACATCATCCTAATGCTGCTGAAACCCTTCAGTGTCCAGAAACATGATTAAGGAGATAATATGCCATTGTCATCTTCTGTTTTCTTCTTTTCTTTTTTCCTTTTTGGTTTTTTGAGACAGGGTTTCTCTGTGTAACAGTTCTGGTTGTTTTGGTACCAGCTTTTGTAGATAAGGCTGGCCTCGAACTCACAGATATCCTCCTGCCTCTGCCTCTGCTGAGATTAAAGGCATGTACCACCACCGCCCGGCTAAGATTTTTGGGGGGCATGGAGAAACATCTGCTGTTTTCTAATCTTTGTTGCTGGGTGTGAACCAGGGCCTCAAATATGCAAAGTTCACTTGTCTGTCACTGAGCTATGTCCTCAGCTTTTCTTTACAACCTGCATATTTTATACTCTCTAAATTCTTGATTAATTAAATTGATTTAATGTTTGTTTTAATGTGTATGGGTATTTTGCCTGCATGTATATCTGTGTACCGTGTGCATTCTTGATGTCCAAGGAGGACTGTAGAGGGTCAAATCCCCTGAGACTGGAGTTACAGTTGGTTGTGAGCCACCAAATGGGTGTTGGGAACCAAGACCAGGTTCTCTGGAAGAGTAGCCACTGTTCTTAACCACTGTGCACTCTCTCCAGCCCCCTCTAAATTCTTAATTAATCAATTAATTTTAGTTATTTAAATTTTAAATTATTCATTTGGTCCTTTTTAATGTTCTGTTTTCTGTTGTAAATTAATGTCATCCCGTGGAACATTTAAAAAGTCATAACATCGTGAAAGACCAATGAAAAATATTCATGGTAATTGATCATTCACACACATAATGATTATTAATGCCTTAACTATGCTCCACTGCCATCTATCTATTTGGTGTTTTTTAACAGATCATACTGACAATTTAACTCTTCATATTTTTATTATATCATTATATAAATGCAAACACTTGCATTCAGTTACCTTGAATACATGTCATAATTCAATACTTTTAAAATTAGTATACAAAGTATTAGGCATCATTATAGCATTTTAAAACATTAATGTAAAACTGGGGAAAGAGGGCTGGAGAGACAAACAGGAGGGAAGATTCAACAAAACATCACTTACCAGGTACTCCTTTTAGGTGACTAAGATTGTTATTTACTGTTTTAAATAAATACTTTTGTGGGTGTTAAATGTGTTTGTATATAAAGCTACTTACTTTGGAAAAGGAGAAAGACCATTCCACATTTTGAGTTATTTTATAGATAAATGACTCTTTTCCTAAATTGACATAATAAAGACATATATAGAAAGCAAAAGAGAATTAAACAGGTTATAAAATCATTGTACCTGAGATAGGATTATTCAGATTTGTACATAAATACTAAGAACATATATTATGACTTTATAATAATATAAATATATATTAAATATATATCAAAATAGAAGTAATAAATGTTTACATTTGCTTTTTTATTCCCATGTTCTCTTAATAAGCCTAAATTTTGCTTATTACAGATAATGATGAACCTCTCTTGAGTGGATTTGGTGATGTATCCAAAGAATGTGCAGAAAAAATTCTTGAAACATGGGGAGAACTACTGTCAAAATGGTGAGTTACAGAATCACTCTGCCTCTCACTGTCACATCATCTCATGGACAGGGAATCCTACCTCCTTCTCAATCTAGAACTGATAGCAGAAATCTGCAAATAAGGCCTCATTCTAGGATATAATAGACATTTATAAGGATTACAGCAGAGATTTGAATCAGTTCTCAGACTTACCAGAAGCCTAGCAAAGTCTCATTGATAGAAAAGAATTTTCAGACATGGAATTCATAGACAGAGAGGGAGAAATTAGTCGGTCCTGTACAGTGAAGAAGATAGGTAGATTATAAGAACTCTATTGTAGCTGCAACTATCATTCTCTAATGCCAGAGCTGCCTCTTACTTGCCAAGCTCTGAATGAAGAAGTTTAAGGAGGTCTCTGTACAATGGCTTCCACAAAGAAGACTGCCCCATAAATCTACTTGCAAGAGTGTGCCCTCTACTCGAGGTGAGGAAAAGTAATGGTCACAGGCCTGATTGTACGATACTGTGAAATTAGATGCTATCAGGAGTCCATTGGACTTAGTTAGACATCCTTACAGTCTGGTAAGAAATTCCTTAGGCTTTCAAAACAAGTATGTGCTTCCAAAATGTGGCTATTGGTGCTATGCAGGAGGCAGATGAGGTGGCCTGTCTTGTTTGCCTTTGTATGTTTATCAGTTATACCAGAAAATGCCCTGTTAGCAGACCATGCACTTGGTGAACTTGCTTAAGAATGCCCTATTGCTGGGCTGTGATAGTGCATGGATTATAGAATCCCAGCACTCGGGATACAGAGGCAGGCAGATCTCTGTGATGAGGCTAGCCTGGTCTATCTACAAGAGCTAGTTTCAGGACAGTCATGAAAGTTACACAGAGAAACTTTGTCTTGAAAAAAAAAAATTGAAAGAAAAAGAATCTACTTTGATGGAAAACAGTTCATCTACACAATATGTTTTCGTCTCTTCCAGTTATTGGTAATTCTCAATGTTAGATAATTTTCCCTATGGAGTTTAAAGGTATCTAAGCACAATTGGCAAGTAGAAAATAGGGGGCAGAAATCAGATATTGGCAGTTTTCCCATTGCCGTTTGTGTGGGAAATTTTAATATAAAAGTGAGGCAAAAAAAAAAAGCGATCTGTATGTCAGCGTGCTTCTGTGAGCAAGCAGCAGTGCACCTTTACAGCAATTGAAAATAAATCTGATGAATTGTTAAGATGGGAAAATTGTACTCACCGTGTTAATACTCAGTGATCAGAGAAGTATAAGAGATGGTCACTCTGTGTGTGTGTGTGTGTGTGTGTGTGTGTGTGTTACATAGTAGAATCCTCAGGTAGAGTTTTTCTTTACCTGTGTTACATAAGATACCTGGAATGACAAAGCAGAGTATCCAAGCATGATATGGGTGCCTTGCTATATTCATTATTTTTATGTTTGTATATCTCCAGGTTTGGTTTTTGTTTGTTTTGTTTTTTCAATAAAGGGTTTCTCTGTATAACAGCTCTGGCTATCCCAGAACTCACTCTGTAGACCAGGCTAGCCTTGAACTCACAGAGGTCCGCTTGCTTGCCTTTGCTTCCTGAATGCTGGGATTAAAGGTGTGTGCCAACATCATCTGGCTTGTGTGTTCCTAGTTGAGGGTTAGTCTGGGAATATAATTCTGTCGTAGAGTACTTGCCAGGCCATGCTTGGGTCCCTCCATTTAATCCTCAGAACTGCCAAACAAAATGTGACTGCTTCCCAAAACAGGCATGGTGGAGCATGTCTACAATCTCAGCATTGGGATGTGGAGGCTGGAGGATTAAGACTTCAAATCCAGCCTGAGTTATATAGCAAAATTGTGTCTCAAAACCAAGAATTTGGCCCTGACATGGTGACTCATGCCTTTAAATACCAATACTCGGGAGGCCAAGGATCTCTGTGAGTTTGGGACCAGCCTAGTCTACATAATGAATTCTAGGCTAGCCTGGGGTACACAAGAGACCCTCTCTAAAAACAAACAGACAAAAAGAGTTTGACAACAGTGTTATAAGGCATTATTCTTTAGCCTGTTTACAAAGAGGTGTTCATCAGCATAACTAGAGATAGTCCGGTGGGACATATATGGAGTATCTTTTCTTCCTTAGTAAGATGTCTTGGAGGAAAATGCTAAGTTTAAAAGTGATCTGATGTCTGTGTTGCAGATGCTCTGGTTATTATGTTTCTCATTAAAGTTCCCTATGGACCTTATTCATTAAGGGTTTTTTTCCTCATTAGAAGTTTTGCCTGTCAAATCCTTCACTGTATTTTTAGTAAAGCCATGTCTCAGCAGATGTCATGATCCTTAAAGCTAGCAGTACACATGCTGATGCTTTCACAATGCTTTACACTTTGAACAAAATACTGTCTGCAGCCAGGCAGTGATGGCGCATACCTTTAATCCCATCACTCAGGAAACAGAGGCAAGTGGATTTCTGTGCATTTGAGGCTAGCCTGGTCTCTGTGAGCTAGTTCTAGGACAGGCTTCAAAGTTACACAGAGAAACCCCGTTTTGAAAAAAAAAAAAAAAGAAGGAAAAAAAGCAAACCACTCTCTGCATTTCATTGGGAAAATGTCAAAAATGTATAAAAGAAAACGACAAATCGAAACATGAATTGTCTTTAGGCAAATGACCTGGAATGCATAAACTATGCAAAAGCCCTCGGGAGCGTTTCTTTTTTTTTGTAGTTAATTTATTTATTTATTAAAGATTTGTGTCTCTTTCCCGCCATCGCCTCCCATTTCCCTCCCCCTCCCCCAATCAAGTCCCCCTCCCTCATCAGCCCAAAGAGCAATCAGGGTTCCCTGCCCTGTGGGGAGTCCAAGGACCTCCCACCTCCTTCCAGGTCTAGTAAGGTGAGCATCCAAACTGCCTAGACTCCCACAAAGCCAGTACGTGCAGTAGGATCAAAAACCCATTGCCATTGTTCTTGAGTTCTCAGTAGTCCTCATTGTCTGCTATGTTCAGCAAGTCTGGTTTTATCCCAGGCTTTTTCAGACCCAGGCCAGCTGGCCTTGGTGAGTTCCCAATAGAACATCCCCATTGTCTCAGTGTGTGGGTGCACCCCTCGCGGTCCTAAGTTCCTTGCTCGTGCTCTCTCTCCTTCTGCTTCTGATTTGGACCTTGAGATTTCTGAACCTGATAGAAGAGAAAGTGGGAAGTACTCTACAACACATGGGCACAGGAGACCACTTCCTATGTATAACCCCAGCAGCACAGACATTAAGGGCCTCATTGAATAAATGGGACCTCCTGAGACTGGGGCGTTTCTTCTTAAATTGTGATGTTTCTTTACTCTCAGGAGTCAGTCTCAGCTTCCCCTCAATGAGTTTCGAGGATGTGAACTGCTGATGCAGAATGTCTTACAGACATGAAATGTTCCTACTCTAAACCAGCATTGTAATCAGTGCTGTCCTAATTTCGTAGTAGCGTGTTTAAAATCATCTCCATGGTATTTACAGTCGAACGCATTTTCTGTCCAGGAACTCACTCTGTAGCCCAGGCTGGCCTTGAACTCACAGAAATCTACCTTTCTGTGCCTCCAAGTGCTGGCAAGAACTCATTTAATTCTGTGAATCAACATATTTCATTTAATGACTTAGTTTGTTGTCAAACTTTGTTGCTCCTAATCAGCTGTGTCCTCCCATTCTCTTAAACATATTAACTGAATTCCCATCTGTGTCTGCTGTCACCAAATTTTTTCAACTGCTTTTGCTTGAGTCATTTCTCCAGATATATAATAATCTAATAATCTATTCTGCTTCATCCATCTCATCATTTTCGTCTTCCTTAGGTGTTCTGTGAACATTGTAATATTATGGAAATTAGGAGTTTGTAGAACTACTAATAGTCCTGTTGTTTAGAATTTATAGATTTTAGGGTTGTAGTAATCATAGTTGAAACATTTATCATGTGCCAAACACAGTGTCAAATTGTATGTACTCTTTCAACTATAACAATATTACAAACTTCTGCATTTTCACACACGGGGTAAGCATTCTAATAAGCATAGCCATAATTTTTTTAACATAACATGTCTGTTCTTGAAGTTAGTTTATTTATAAAAGTAGATTTTAATACAGTATTAGTAAGTATCTTTGTATGTCATTTTCCAGGTTCATTTGAATATGATTCTTGGAAGATAGGAGTACTGATGTACTGATGTCCTGATGTATAAAATAAATAGTATGCTAATTATATGTAGAGTTAAAACTGTCAATGGTTGAAATCACTCTGAAAGAAATTTTACCACTGTGAATTAGGGTTAGCAAATATTTCTATGAAGGACCAAAGAATAAATATTTAAGACGTTGTGGCCCAATGATAGTCTGTCACAACTACTCATCTCTACTACAGAAAATCAAAACAATCATACACAATACAGAGAAGTACTCATAATTGTGTCATAAAAGTATTTACAAAAGAGATGGAGGACTGTATTTAGCTTAAAGGCTATAGTCTTTCAAACCTTTAGTTAGCAGCAGAACAACTAATACTGTTTTTTACTGACAATTCTCCATGCGTACACACATGCAAGGAAAGTTTATATGAGAGCACCCTTATCTCTCATATTATGGTATAGTCTGGGTCTCTGCAAGAGCTGCTGCAATTGGTTTTAGCAGTTAAGCATGTCTGTAGCACCTAACTGCAGTCTCTCTCTCTCTCTCTCTCTCTCTCTCTCTCTCTCTCTCTCTCTCTCTCTCCTTTTCGAGACAGGGTTTCTCTGTAGCTTTGGAGCCTGTTCTGAAACTAGCTCTTGTAGACCAGGCTGGCCTCAAACTCACAGAGCTCCGCCTGCCTCTTGCAGTTTTTCTCTTAAGTTGTACAGAAGCCACAACCAGAAAGCATCTCTGTAGTTTCCAGTTCTACTTTTTTTGTTTTAAAGACAGTGGTTATTTGTTTTGTTTTGTTTTAAAGATGGTGGTTCTTTGGCTCTCCTGGAACCAGTCTCGAACTCAAAGATCCACCTGCCTCTGCCTTCCGACTGCTGTGATTAATGGTGTGTGCGGCCACCATCTGGCTTCCAGTTTTACTTTTTAGATAATGATTTAAAGATACATAGAGTAGCTTGCAGGTACCATGTCACTGCTTCCTCTTTTATTATTGTTACTGTGTTACTTTCTTATATCTTTGTAAACCATTTTCATTAAAGACTTTCAGAGTATCTCCCTTTGCTGCAGTAATGAATTGTGACTTTATTTTTAGGCATCTCAACTTGAGTGTGAGACCGAAGCAGTTGTCATCTTTAGTGAGAAGTGGTGTCCCAGAAGCTCTTCGTGGAGAAGTCTGGCAGCTGCTAGCGGGCTGCCACAACAATGATCACTTAGTAGAAAAGTACCGAATTCTCATCACAAAGGTCAGAGAGGATGTGAGCTTCAAAGTGAATAGTTGAATGCTGTATAATTTATGTTAAATAAGTGTAGTTCAGAGATGTTTCTTTTCTTGACACAAAGACGAATGAATGCATGAAGTTTACCTCTTCAGTTGAGTTTGTCTCAGGGTAGATCATGTCCTCCGACCCACTGTGCGTCTCAGTCCTTTCAACCTAGATTAACAGTGAGCCAGATTACTTATGTATACGTTGTATACAAATGTTTTGTTTTGTTGGTGTGGGTTTTTATTTATTTGGTTGCTTTTTGTCTTGGTTTGTTGATTGTTTTCTTTTTAAAATGGATTCTGGGCTTGTCTAGAACTCACAGTATAGACAAGACTGGCCTTGAACCTGTGGCAGTCTCCCTACCTAAGTCTCCCAATTGCTGGCATTATAAGCATGAGCTGCTGCAAGCTAGCTATATATTTTTTTCCATAGAAATACGCTTTGGTAAAGAAGGCCTTCTTTTAGTTTCTACACTTACAAGAAAATAATCCTGTAGCCTTATACTTAATCTGCTGTGGCTCATATCCTCTAAGGTGAAACCCTTATTTTCACAGTGTTCCCTGCTCAAGTTGAAGCATTCTTCAAAGTTTGACAAGCAAAGCAAGAGGGAAAAAAAATACTCTGTGTCCCGAGTACAAAGGCCAGGCAGCATTTGTGCCTTTTGTACCATATAATAGGTTTGGTTTTAGTTCTCTCAAAATGTTGGCAGTGTTTATCTACTAGGAAGCAGCTCTCTAATAGGTAAATTTGGAATCTGGGTTATGAACATGCAGATTCTCCCACAGCACTTAAAATTTCTTAAAATTGCATTTACATTTTATTTGTTGTGTTTGCATATGTATGTGTGTGTTTGGGCATGCTAGTGCCCCAGTATATTTGTGGACTTAGAGGAAAACTGGTAAAAGTCCATTCTCTCTCTCTCTTTTTAAAAGATTTATTTATTTATTATATATACAGTGTTCTGTCTGCATGTATGCCTACTAACCAGAAGAGGGCACCTGATCTCATTATAGATGGTTGTGAGCTACCATGTGGTTGTTGGGAATTGAACTCAACCTGAAATGAACCTCTGGAAGAGCAGCTGGTGTTCTTAATCTCTAAACCATCTTTCCATACCAAGTCCATTCTGAAGAGAATTCACCATATGGGTCCGAGGGACCAAACTCGGGTTTTCAGACTTAGGTACCTTTAACCACTGAGCCATCTCACCTGCCCAACGTGAAAACTTTTTATATGACAAAAGGTAAAAACCTTTGTAAACAAAATATTTAAACCTTATGAGGAGTGTATTTTATCTTTTTAAAACTGTTAACACAGCCGGGCGGTGGTGGTGCACACCTTTAATCCCAGCACTCGGAAGGCAGAGGCAGGCGGATCTCTGTGAGTTCAAGGCCAGCCTGGTCTAGAAGAGCTAGTTCCAGGACAGGAACCAAAAAGCTATGGAGAATCCCTGTCTCGAAAATCAAAAAAAAAAAAAACAAAAACAAAAACAAAACAAAAAACTGTTAACACAAAACAATCTTATAGAAAAGTAACATACAGAAAGAAGATACAATCTTAAAAGAAAATGTGAGTCTAACATAACAGTTGTGGGCAGAGGAAGCCAAACACAATAACAGCTGAGTGTCCTTTTTTGAATGTGCCTGACAAATCACAGTGGGAGCCATAAAGGAGAGGTTCATGTGTATTTTAAGGGGTGCACAGCTTTTGAGACAGCTTCCTGAAAAGAATTTGTATCATCCCCTTCAAGGCTCAGGAAACACTCCAGAAGATGGTGTGGGAAGGATCTAGGACCCAGGGGCAAAGCGTGGAGTCCAGTGGAGAGCTGTCTTCCAGCCACAGCGTGGCCTTTCCGATTTACAGCTTCCAGAACCTTTTTCAGTCCCTCTGTCTTTGGCTATACTTTATGATATTTTATATTTTATGTCTTAGTGTTCCTTTTGATTCAATATTTAGTATTCAGAATTTACAGCAAAACTTGTACGGTAAATTATTTTATAGTGAGAGACTAATTGGTCAACAGCACATCCTGGTATTCCTCTTTTCCACCCCCTTGCTCCTTCTCAAACATGTGTATGGTCTTTTCTGAGCTTTAATGTCTTTTTTTTTTTCTTTGTTTTCTTTTGTTGGTTGGTTAGTTGGTTGGTTGGTTTTGTTTTGTTTTTTTTTTTTTGAAACAGGATTTCACAGTAGCTATGGAGTCAGTCCTGGAAATCTCTCTGTAGACCAGGCTGGCCTTGAACTCACAGGGATTCACCTGTCTCTGCCTCCCAAGTGCTGGAATTAAAGGTGTGTGCCGCCACCACCCAACAAACTTTAATTTCAATTTTAAGACTTTGCTGCTCCGGGCGATGGTGGCGCACACCTTTAATCTCAGCACTTGGGAGGCAGAGGCAGGTGGATCTCTGTGAGTTCGAGACCAGCCTGGTCTACAGAGCTAGTTCCAGGACAGGCTCCAAAGCCGCAGAGAAACCCTGTCTCGAAAAACCAAAAAAAAAAAAAAAAAAAAAAAGACTTTGCTGCAATTACATGCTCATATCGAGACCCTAAGTTAGCAGCACTTCTATACCACAGCTTTTTTTAAAAAATATTTATTTATTATGTATACAATATTCTGTCTGTGTGTATGCCTGAAGGCCAGAAGAGGGCACCAGACCCCATTACAGATGGTTGTGAGCCACCAAGTGGTTGCTGGGAATTGAACTCAGGACCTTTGGAAGAGCAGGCAATGCTCTTAACCTCTGAGCCATCTCTCCAGCCCCTATACCACAGCTTTTTATCTCCTTAATTACTTATCCAGTTGAAGCTTAGGAGGCCCAGCCACATTTTACTAGTCTAGAAATAGAATGCACCAGCAATGGTTTCATCACTAAGCAGATTGCTTCCTTCTTAAATAAAAATAGCTCTCTGGAATTTAATGGGCAAGGACTGAAATCACAAGAATGTAGCTCAAGACACCCAGCAATGAAAACCTGTTTGCTTAGCAGGAAGCACCTGGAGTTAGGAAGCCTGAGCACTGGTTCAGTGCACTCATTTGTAAACCCAAATATGGTTCTGTACCGTGGACCAGTCGTTGGGACATCAGATGAAAGCAGTTTCTGAAGTTTTCGAGCCTATATACATAGATCTAACCATCAGTGACAGAAAATGTTTTTGAAGGTTTGCTTCAGTATCAAAGATCTATAAACTTTTTTCTTATTATTTCCCAAATAAAATAATAGAATGTATTTATGTAGGCATTTGCATTGTATTATGTATTGTTAGTAATTTACGAAGAATTGATTTATACAGGAATATTGGGGGTATTTTGCTTAAATATTTGTTTGGGGGTTTTGATTTTTTTGGTTTGTTAGTTTGTTTTGCAACAGAGTTTCTTTGTATAATAGCCTAGGCCATCTTGGAACTCACTTTGTAGACCAGGCTGGCCCCAGAACTCACAGATATCCACATGCCTCTACCTCCTGATGCTGGGATTAAGGCATGCACCACTACTGCACAGCTTACAGGAATATTGTTTATGTTGCATATGAATACTTCCTCCTTCCCATGGATCTTGGGCATGGTAGGCAAGCACTCTACCATAGTCCCTAGTTCCCCATTGCATCATTTTCTATAAAGGATGTGAGCATCCATGAATTCTATATTCAATCGAGGTTCTGTGACCTTTTTCTTTGGGTGCTGAGAAATTGCTACAGTGTTTTACCTCAAAACACAGGCCATGATTCTACCATTTCAAAGTGGATACAAGAAATCATAGGGGCTGGAGAGAGATGGCTTAGCAGTTAGGAGTACTTATTTGCTCTTGTGGAAGCCCTGGGTTTGGTTTCTAGAACCCACGTGGCGATTCACAACTGTCTATAATTCCAGTTTCAGAGTATTAGATGCCCACATGTAGTATACATAAACTTGTCCAAATATACACACATACACATAAAAATAAAAACTAATTAATTTCTCTTAATAGAAAGACTTTATGTTGTGAGTTGTCTTTAAGACGGTTTTCTGTAAGGAAGAGGGCTGCTGACTGGTACTGGATTTTGGGGACTTCAAGAATGAGGAGTGGGAGGGAATTTAAACACAATGTATAATGATACACATGCGTTAAAATGTTATGAAACCCATTGTTTTGTACACTAAAAAGTATACAAACAAAATATAGGAGACATACACACAAATTACCCTATATTACTGCTTCCATATAGCAGTTGCTATAGTATGTCTCTTTAAATTACTTGTGAAAATAATACTCTGCATATCAAATCTATCTAGGGAGTTCTAAGGTTTCCTGAATTCCAAGAATGTGAATATATTGGTTTGGTTATTTTGAAATTGTTAGTATTTGGGATTTTTTTTCTTTTTTTTAACCCACAGAAATTTTATGTCATTTAGCCTGGTATAGATTGAACATCTCTCTCTAAAAGTTTGGAATTGGAACTGTTTCAGATTTGTGGTTTTCCTCTTGGTTGTGGTGGTGATGTTTTTGGTTTGGCTTGGTTTTGCTTTTGTATAAACTATCAGTTAAAGCACCATGACATGAAAATAAGAGGTGCTCTGAAACCTTGGGCTAGTGGAAGTCTTTCAGTGCTTGCTTCTAGGTCCTAGACTTTAGGAACAGGAACGCTTCCCCTGTGTTGTGACTGCACCAGTAGCTATCACTGCAGCTGTATTTGAAAGCTCTTTCAACCTAAAAACAGAATTTCTGTTGTATCTGTCTTGTGTTGTTTATTCATTTAAGGAAGAATTCTCTCTCTGGATCAGCCCTGAGAAAACAAGGCAGTTAACTATAAACAATCCAAATTCCGTGAGAATCTTAGAAGAGTGTACATCATCACTGAATTCAGATGGCACAAAAAGTTTCTCATCTAGCCAGGCGGTGGTGGCATATGCCTTTAAACCCAGCACTCGAGGCAAACAGATGGATCTCTGTGAGTTGGAGACCAGCCAGGTCTAGAGAGCAAGTTTGAGGACAGCCAGGGCTACACAGACCGTGTCTAGAGAAACAAACAAAGGTTTCTCACCCAGCCTTCTAAAGGTCTTGTCTTCTGAAGTCATCCTGGAGGTTGGAGTTGGGCACAGAGTGCAGTGCCGTAGTGTTGAGGAGGAGCTCTCATGGTCAGAGGTGAGGCATGCTGGCTGAGCCCGTGTGAGGCCAGAAAAGCCAGCATGGGCCAGCTTCCAGGAGATGACCTTAATGGTTTTGTGTAATTGGGGGAAAAGAATGAATCGTTTTATCTCATGTTTATTTTATAGCATTTTGTATTTCCAGTGCTGGCTGTATATCCAAGACAAATGCTCTACTGTTTCCCTATGTTTAGGTTTAAAAAGCAGTATAACTGGGTGTGGTGTTGCAGAGGCAGGCTGATTTCTGTGAGTTTGAGGGCAGCCTGGTCTATGTAATGAGACTCTGCCTGAAAATAGTAAATAAATAGATGACATTTTAAAAAGTAAAAAACATGGAAGATTTCATGTGTCTGACAAGAAGGCAGGCTGTCTTGATTCAAATCCTAGCTCTCCTGTTTTCTAGCTGTCATTGGACAACTTAATACCACTAGGCATAAAATGGGATGATAATAGAAACCTACTTCTGTGATTGTTACTATTAACAGGGTTAATAAGTGAAAATATTCAGCTCGAATCATAGTCATATTAAGTGTAAGCTGCTCCCTAATTACTGTGATTAACTTGTTTATTTGTCATTTTAGTTTTAGAATATTATTTTGGTTCCAGTAAAACATGGCATAAGATAATTGTGGGTTAGACTGGAGTGATAGATAGCAAAGGAGACTCCCTTATTTGCTGGGGACATGTTCCAAGACCTCCAGTGGTTACTTAAAGCATCAGATAGTGCCAGACTTGTAACTGTTTTATCATTTCTATACTTTTAATAAAGTATAACTTACAAAGTAAGCATAGTAAGAAGTTAAAAAAAATAGATAATAATAAAATAGCTGTAATAGTATGTTGTGGTAAGTATGAATGTGGGCTGTCTTAACGTGCAGCGTTTTCTATTTGGTGCTTTTAGACTACAGCTGAGCCTAGATAATGGACTATAAAATTGCAGCTCGGGAGACTGATATACTGTGTAAGACACGCTCAGAGGTAGAGCCCTTAGCATACCGCGTGTTTGCTGGATGAGTGTGGAAAGGGACCGGGAGAAGAGGGAGCAGGAGTCAGTACCTCAAATAATCTTTGAGCTACAGTGGTTTAAATACAGAAAGATGCTGTTGCTCTCTGCTGAGGCCTGTCACATACTGCTGGCTGTTAGTCTTGTGCTTCAGCATGTTTTTAGGTCTTTGCTTTCCTACGGTAAAGTGTTCACACTTCACTGAATTGTGATTGTAAGGCATCCTTTTGCCCACAGTAAGAAAGAATGTATAAAGTAAATAAGAATTCAAGTTGGATCACACATAATGTTTTGTTCAGATTTGCAGACCTCCTGGAATTATTACAGACACCATCATTTGTTTCCTTTTACCCTACTGGAAATGTGGGGCTTTTTTCTGGCAGAATTATACCATTCCCTCAGCACCCAATTCCTAGCACCTTTTAGGATATTATCTGAAATAAATGCTGTATGATTTCAGTTTGCATCATAAGATTGGAAAACTTATACCTGAATATCTGCATGCTGTTTCGAGCGTCACTTGGGTAGAGCACCTAACTAGACTGATAAAGAGTCAAATATCCAATAAACGAGAAAATAAAATTGAGGCTGAATATTTAAGTCTTCTAACTATAAATTCTTGTGCATCTGAGTTAGAGTTCCTCCATTGCCATATTCTGTTAACACACTTCCTTTCTCTGATAATTGTTCTTTGTCCTTGGGAGAATGGTGCACAAAATAGGACTTTTCCCCTCACTCCTCTGGTAGTGAGCTTCAGCCCAACTCCTGACTCCTCCCTCTCTTCCCTCCCTCTCCACCCATCCACCCTTGTAGTTACTGCCTATTTTTCTAGCTGGCAGTCTGGATTCTACCCATTTACCTAAGAGGGGGATTCTAGACAGCTTTCAAACACACTGGACTGCTGGCAACCCAAGTCAGTGCCCACCGGTGCATTTTGAAAACTCGGGAGCTTCTTTCTGGCGATGAGTTGCCCAAGATGCTAGAGTCTGTGTGAGCACATTTGTCTTCCTTCCCTTTCCCCTTTCTTTCTTTTCCGAAGTCCCTTCTCCCTGCTTCCCCTCCTACTCCTTTATCCTCTCCCTCTGTGCTTTAGTTCTCCGAACACAGGCTGAAGCACAATCCTGCATTGCAAGGCTTTCTGTTAAGGATTTATTGTGGCTTTTGTTTGGATTTCATCGTGCGGAATTACAGGTAACACTCTGAAATTGAGCTAAGCATTTAAATTCTATTAAGATGTTTTCAGTGGTAAAATAGTACATTAAATTTAATGGAAAAATTAATCTTGGTTAATTTTTATCAGTGATAATTGTAGCCAGATGTTTTCAGGATTACCATAAGGAGATTCTGTCTCCCACAACACGTTAAATAAAAGAAAATGAGGGTAGAATGGATCAATAAGTGCTTTCCTTTTATGTTGATCTTGGTATAGCTGCTCCACTGCAGTAAGTGCCCTTTATGGATGGGTGTTGCTGAGAAGAAAGGGGTGGGTGGTAGCAGTCAGAGCTAGCTAGGGTTTTTTACTAGGATATGGAATGCAAAATGTAAAATGCTTTCTCCTTTTCTTCTATCAGCTGTTCAGAGGAGACTCATTACAACTCCTGCTGAAGCTCCCAATCTTCCTCTCTTTGTCCCTACCCCCACTCTCCCTTGGCCTGAAGACACTGCCCCCAGTTTACCTTACTCCCTTGGTGCTATGTGCATGGTAAACATGGCAGTATGGCCAGGTCTGGGACTGGCCAGGCAACTGCTGTTGACTTTCCCCATTCCAGGAAGAATTTAAAGGGAAATTGCACAGCAAGCACTGTACCTCAGCAGCAGCACCACCAGGAACATGGTGACTAGGGTTCTCTGGGATTGTCTCACACAAACACACACATGCAGAGTTGAATGCAGTGACAATAGCTGTGCCTGGGAACTGTGACAGCAGCCAGGTGGCTGCATGAAATGGGAACCAGTTCCCGAGCATGAGATGAACTCCACCTTGGATGGTGACCAGAGCAGCCATCCTTTCTGTCTCCTGGCACTGGGCTACTCAGAAACTGTCAGTTTTTGTCTTTTGGAAGCACTGATTGTTGTCTTTCTAACCACATTGATTATTTCTGGCAACATCATTGTGATTTTTGTGTTTCACTGTGCACCTCTGTTGAACCATCACACTACAAGTTATTTCATCCAGACAATGGCATATGCTGACCTCTTGGTTGGAGTAAGCTGCTTGGTCCCTTTCTTGTCACTACTCCACTACCCCCTTCCTATGGAGGAGGCCATGACTTGCCAAGTATTTGGCTTTATAATATCAGTTCTGAAGAGCGTTTCCATGACTTCTCTGGCCTGTATCAGCATTGATAGATATATTGCCATCACTAAGCCTTTAACCTATAATACGCTGGTTACTCCTGGGAGACTACGCCTGTGTATTTTTCTGATTTGGCTGTATTCCATCTTGGTCTTCCTGCCTGCCTTCTTCCACTGGGGCAAACCTGGATATCATGGAGATGTATTTCAGTGGTGTGCAGTGTCCTGGCACACCAACCTCTACTTCACATTGTTCATCGTGGTAATGCTGTATGCCCCAGCTGCCCTCATTGTCTGCTTCACATATTTCAACATCTTTCGCATCTGCCAACAGCACACAAAAGAAATCAGTGAAAGGCAAGCCCAATTCAGCAGCCGGAATGAGGAGACTGGGGAAGCCCAGACTTGTCCTGATAAGCGCTATGCCATGGTCCTCTTCAGAATTACAAGTGTATTTTATGTCCTCTGGTTGCCATACATCCTGTACTTTCTGCTGGAGAGCTCCACTGGCTGCAGCAGCCACCTTGCATCCTTCCTCACCACCTGGCTTGCTATTAGCAATAGTTTCTGCAATTGTATCATTTACAGTCTCTCCAACAGTGTTTTCCAAAGAGGATTAAAGGGTCTCTCAGGGACTGTGTGTACTTCTTGTACCAGTCACACTACAGCCAAGGACCCTTACACAGTTAGGTGGAAAAGACCCCTTAATGGATGTCATATCTGAGGGGTTCATATACTCAGTTACTTTGTTTGCAGGAGGAAAGGGTGGCTTTGGTTCTCCTCTTCCCTTCGACCCTGTGCTCCAGTTTACTAGGAGATCTAGAACAGGATAACTTGACTCTGAGCAGCTACAGACCGTCAACACTTTTCAGTTTGCAGAAGTTGTTTCCTAAATGAGATTTAAAATTAGAAGAATCCGGATCATTAAAAAAAAAAAAAAACCAACTCGTGATGCAGTTTTTGAAATGTCATGGAAGTAAGATTCAAAAGGAATAAAGTCATAGCTAATACCTCTCCCAGCTGGTGTGACTGAACATGGATGTGAAAAGCAGCAGCACTATAAAAAAAAATCGCCATTTTCTTTTCCCTTTTCTGGATTCTTCCAAGCAACTTGGAACTTATGTGCAATTGATATCTTTTAACAGGGAATATTAAGATAGCCTGATGAACTAACAAGGATTTTCTTTATCTGTGCCAAAATATAACTGCACTGTAAGTTTCAGCACTCCTTTAGATGGTGAAATGTCTTGAAAGAAATCTCCATAGGATGAATAATGTGATCCCTGAAGATTACTTTTGGAGTTTTGAAATGAACCATGAAGCAACCATGCAATGAAGTCCTACAGTTTGTGAAAAACAGCTGCATTTACTTCATGCTTGTGAACACTCTGTACATGTGTGTAGAAGTGACATTACAGTGCTTTTTCCTTTGCCTCTGTGTTTGAATATTGAACATTGAGTTGGGTTTCTTTTTATAACAAAATGTATTTAAATAAATAATAGATGGATAGATGTACATTGTAATGTGAAGATAGATAGATAGATAGATAGATAGATAGAGATATAGATAGTGACTTTAGTGTTTTCTGTTCTTCTTATCCAGTCTTCAGTAAGAACGGAATCCGCTCAGGGTTGATTGTGCTGTGTGCCTTTTAAACAGTCAGCTGACATCACAGTCACTGTTCATTTTAAAAAACATTTTTTTTCAGGTCCTGGCCAGGAACCTCCTTTGAAGGGAGAAAGGTTCTGATTGGGCCAAGTCACCTACCTGTGATCCTCTTTTTGGAAAAAGTCCTCTGTCATATAGTTCTTTTCTCATTGTCTGTTTTTCCAAAGCACTAGCAAAACGTATAGAATTTTATTGTTTAGAATTACTAGAATGTTTTGTGTTGATATATAGTTTTACCTTTGTTTTAAAAGTGATTGCCTTGAAAGCAAGGGAATTGTTTGTCTAAAAGGAAGAGAGCTGTTAGCAGTTCCAATCAGTACTTCCTGGACTTCGTGTGTTTTCATTTTTAGAAAGTGTCAGGGAGATTAACTGGCCTCTGACTCTGGCCAGATGTTGTCATGCAGGTGGAACTGTGATGTTCAGTGAAACAGGCAGTGGAGGAGACCAGGGGTGGTAGCAAAAATGGATTTTCAAATCCAAGAAAGGATAAGGATGATTATGAAACCCACAGATATGCTTTGGTTTTCCATCCTGATGTTAGAAGGCTATTCCCATTTAAATAGAAGGTATCATGTGTTCCCCACCCCCGCAATTCTTTTATTGTACCCAGAGCCTTGTGCAAACAAGGCAAATACTTCTTTTATATTAACAACATAATTTATTTGTTTTGTTCTTCTTTTTAAGCCAGTGTCTCACTTTTTAGCACCAGCCACCTAAGAACTCACTATCTAGACCAGACTGGCCTTGAACTCACAGAGACCCACTTGTCTCTCTCCTGGGATTAATGGTTCACTATGGCCAGCCCCTAGCCAGTTTTATGTTTTAGACATTGATTTTTATTTTAACCTCAAATACCTTCTTTTTTAAGCTTTTTAAATGACTAAGAATTATAAAAGCTTCAGAATTCAAGTTCTAGAGGCAGGTAGAGCTCTGTGAGTTCAAGGTCAGCTTCATCTACATAATGAGTTCCAGAATAGCCAGAAGTACATGGTGAGATCCTCGCTCAAAATTAAATTAAATTAAATTAAACAGATTCTGAGTTTTACCCCAATCTTGCTTGTTCTGCATAGTTAATATTAGCAAATGTAACTCAGCTGTTTCAGAATTTAAAACTAATGATGAAAATGCTCGGTTAGAAGTAGCTTTGTTGCTAGATGGTGGTGGCACACACCTTTAGTCCCAGCATTCGGGAGGCAGAGGCAGGCGGTTCTCTGTGAGTTTAAGGCCAGCCTGGTCAATAGAGAGTTCTGCTGCAGTGCAGTGAAATTTCAGCTGATATACATAAGGTGGTAGGTCCAGCGCCTTGTGAATCTGGCTTTATCTCCATCAGAACACATTCATTCTGGTGGGTCAGCCTTCTGCTCTATCAGCTGAGATCTCATTGCATATCTCCTGCAGATGGCAGCTTTCCCTGTTTTTTGTTTAAGAAATGCAGTGTATGGACAGCCTCTGGTCCACGCGTATTTCATATCCTAAGTGTCTGAGGATGACTGGAATAAATAAAAGTAAAATGATTAATGCTTCTGTAATTCCAAAATTGATAAGAAGGTTCCACAAGGAGTTGTCATCAATAGAATCTTTAACTGAGTTGACAACATGATTGACTGCCTCTTCTGGAGAAGAAAGCTGGCGTCTGGAATGGCTAATGACACTGATCTGATTATGTAAGGTACCTATGTTTATATCTAGCCTTCCAGGCACCTCTCAGGTGAGCTTGCACCTGATTCCAGGACATTCCTGGACCATTAAGCAGTAAAGGGGTGACACACATCTACTTAAAATCAGCATGACATGATGTTGTTAAACGTATCTTGATATTCTGAATCTGATTAGTTGTTAAGGGAATTCCCCTTCTCCCCTTTGTAGAGTTTAGAAGCCTCTTTTCTGGCCACACCTCCCCAGGACCATAAAGATGCTGACAGTGTACCTTAGGACAGCTCTTATCTGCCTTTTGACCTGAGAAAATTCAAGCTCAGAAATTGTCTTTGTTCTGTGTGTGTATGTAAGCTGAAACTTAGCAGGAGAAAAAAAGAGAAACTGATGCAGAAAAGTATGTAGTGGAGAGTTCATTTCACCCTCAGATCTAAGTTCCATGCTTGCTGTGAGTCTTCTGAACCCTGAAAGGGACACTGAGGCTGGCACTCAAAGGACCCTGGGTAGAATTCCAGGGCAGCCCAGGTCACACAGAAACCCTGGCCCAGAGTTGGGAGGGAACATAGTTGAATTTCTGTTTCAAGTAGAAAATGTTTTCTGCTGGATTCTAGAAATAAGTTCGTAAATATCTATCTCATTGCATTACACAGCTGAAAGGTCAGCTCCGTAGAGTTGGTGGGGTGTGTGCGTCTCATTCCCTTTTGTGAAGTCTCCTGTAGCTCTCCCTTCCTCCTGCTCCCCAGTGCTGGGATTTCAATTGTCCACCACACCAGCTTGTTTTTCATACATGCTGGGAAGTTTAATCTTTTCATATTTGCATTGTGCTTATGAATTTTTAGTTCAGCAAACATGGGAATCTTAAAGATGGTGTTTATCAGTAGTAAGAGAACAGCTTTTTCTTTTAGAAGAAGTGAAGTCCTTTTCATTCTTTTGTTCTGGGGTTCCATTTTGTAACAGTGGGAAAGAAAATTATTCTGGTATTGGCAGCACATGCAGGCATGGCTTTTTAATTAAGATCTTTTTCTCACAGTTGCTTAGTTTTACAATATCAAGTTCTGGTTTTATTAAGGCTTTTTTTTTTTTCAAAGTAGAGTCTATAGTGCTGTTTGAAGCTCAGACTGAAGAAGAAAATAAGTAGTTGTAGTAAAGAAGAAGAGGTAAACGTTGTGATGCTTGGTAGTAGCAGACGTCTTCCCAGTTTATCTTGTCTTCATTGTGCTCAAGGAATCAATCCTGTGATCTTTGATTCATTGTGGGCACTGCTGGTTTATTTTTAACTTACTGTGTGGCAGGGCTGGGATTAAGAAGAGATGAAGGGAAAAGTTACATAGTCTTCAGGAGCTGGGAGAATTCTCTCTGCATGATAGCTTTGAAAAGTTTCTTATTCTGGCACATTTAATGCAACATTTGATGACATTTTGTTTAAATACCAATCCGACTAGTTCAGAGTGAAAAAAAAGCACGTATTTTTAGATTCAAATACCACGGATAGCTCATCTAACTCGGTGGAATGTGACTGGTACCGGAATACACATATGCTTTTAGAGATGGTGCTGCAGTTCCTTCATAATAAAGCTTCTAAAGTAAGACCATGCTAATTGTTCAGGATTGTGTGGTCTCATGCAGTCATTCCAGTGAGGACGTTTTGGTCCTCTTAGAGTGGGGAGTAGCTGCCATGTGAGCCAGTGGCTACCTTAGAAAGAATACTGCATAGCCCAGTTGTTGACAGACTTGCTACTACTTACTCAGAACCCTCTTTTGTACAGGTTTCTCTTAGCAGTATTGCTGCATAAATTCTTTTCCTTTGTACTTAGTTTATTTCATATTTTTAGGATTGGAGAAACTTGAACTTTCATATTATAAATGAGCTGTCCATGCCCTTGAATGTGAAGTGGCAGGTTCACCAGCTTAGATGTAGAGGGTTTCCTCTGCTTTTCCAAAGTTCCTTTGAAAAATGTACACAATGACTTTATAGAAAATGTATTAATTTCATTGACCTTGTGCTTCTATATTAAAAAGATTTGTAAAATAAGTTTTGGCAAACTAGACTTTATTGGTATATGAGCAGTTTGGGCAACATTTAAAGATGGGAAAATTGTGGCATTGGGAAATGTAAATCATGGCATGTTATGGTTTTACATACTTTTCCTGTCAGGTTGAAGAAAAACCAAATGTAAATATATTAAACTGTACGTGTTATTGATGTTATTTATAGATTCTAGAAATGAGGTAGCTATTTCTTTTTGAGGGGGTGGGGTTGGAGAGAGCGTTTTTCCGTGTAGTCCTGGCTGTCTTTGTCGGCCAGGCTGCCTCAAACTCAGAGATCCATCTGCCTCCGCCTTCCTAGCACTGGTATTTAAGATGTGCACCACCACTGCCTGACTGTGGTAGCTATTTCTTAGGACTACAAACGAGTCACCGGCATTTCTTTAAAAATTGGGTGATAAAAGGAAATCTGGCACAGTTACAATGAACTTTGTACAGCAAATGTGGAAACCTGGTGAGCTGGTTAGTAAAGTAGGGATAGTAAAGGCACTAAAGGTCCTTTCATGCTCTGTGGCTCTGAAGGACTGAATCAGATAATGTGAAGCGCTTCGTGCGTGCAAGTGCGTGCCATAGCTTCACGTAGAGGCTGTATGTCATGGTGAGCTTCCATACATTCAGTCATGGAATAGATCACTACTCTGTGCTATTTAGCAATCCCAGACCTGAAGATTATATAAGTACTAGTTTACTTCCTTTTAATGCCTGAAAAGTTGGTGAAGGCAAGGGGCAGTACCCCGATAGCTGCATCCCCCAAATATCACACAGAACCCACTCCAGAACAGAAGTCTGCGTAAACAACAGAATGAACAAATGACTTGGTCCCTTCTGTCCTTCTGGATTGATAATAGGACT